CCAAGCAGTCACTGCAGGGTCAGCAATGACTGAGCGCAGACAAAAAAAAAAAACCTATAAATTGTATTCAGGAGGATGCCGAGTTTCTTCACACCTTCTCTATCAATGTAGAGAAACCATGGAAACACGCATGGGAGTCAGAACATAGTCCCAATCCATGTTTAGGATTTCATTAATACAGTGTTCTGAAAGGGGGCCCTATAGCTAACTACTTGGAAAAAAGGGCCAGTTTTTCTGTTTAGTAGTGCTGATAGCTAAGTCAAAACTTGTGCGTACCAGGATTCATCCTCTTATTATTGCTGATGGCCTGTGTACCTTCTGTACTTCCAACACATCTCCAAAGCTGGAAGTGGCAAGGTGGGGAGGAGACACATGGCATTTTACTATAGTAGGTTCTGGCCAAATAATCACTGTAATTTTCCACAATTGCTAGGTGTAGAAAATACGGGAATCTGCCAGAAGGAAGTGGCAAAATTCAGTCTTTGGATCTGCCTGTCATCATCAATACTAAAGGTTAGCAAGAAAAATCATCCAGCAGTAACATCTTCATCATACCATGTAAGTTATAAACTTTACATTTTAGTATTCCTCACCCTACAGATAGATCATGGCAAAACAGGCTGGCTCCAGGTTGGTAAAGGAGAGAGATAAGTCTGTATACGCTCCTCTTGTTTATTCAGCCTATATGCTGAACATATATTAAGGGAAGCTGGACTGCAAGAAGATGAGCACTGTTTTAAAACTGGAGGAAGAAACATCAGTAACTTGTGCCATGTTGATGACGCTACTTTGATAACCGAAAATGCAAAGGATCTGCAAGTACTAGTAATAAAAGACACGGAGCATGGTGAAAAAAATGGGACTAATATTAAATATAAAGAAAACAGGTACAACAACCAGTCTTGCAACTGACAATGAAGATACTGAAGTGGTGGATAGCTTCTGCCTTTTAGGATCAACCATCAACAGTAAAAGAACAAGCAATACACCACCAGCACTTGGTAAAGTAGCCATGAAGACCTTGGAAAAGATGTTCAGATGCTGTTACAGGTAGTCCTCAGGTTACAACAGCAATTGGGACCAGGACTGCTGTCACTAAGTGATACTTAAAGCATGGTGTCACATGACTGCACTGCTTAGTGACAGCAATCCAGGTAGTCCCAGTTGCCATCATAACCCCAAGACACATGGGTCGTTAAGCAGGAAGCAGATGGAGTCGCAGGTAAGGAGTGCGGGGGTGCTGCAAGGGGGTGGGGCCCCCTGAGACACCCGGTACAGGCCACACGAGAGTTGATGGAGGGGGTACTCCAGTGCAGCATGAGTGCAGGAAGATGGGTGCAGATCTGTGTGAGCACAGGGAGGCCAAGGGAAGGAGGGTGCAGTGTGGTATGCAGGAAGGCTGGGAGAGGGACTTACCAGAGCAGCTTGAAACTTTCCCCGCTGGCTTTCCCATTAACTATGTTTGCGGGAAGCTGGCAGGGAAGGTCGCAAATGGTGATCACATGACTGCAGGACACTGCAACTGTTGCAAGTGCGAGTTGGTTGCCAAGCACCCAAGTCTCAGTCACATAATTGTGGGGGCGCTGCAACAGCTGGAATTTCAAGGACCAATCTAAGTACCACTCGTTCAGTGCTGTTGCAATTTTGAACAGTCGCTGAATGAGTGGTCGGTAAAAAAGGACCACCTGTATATGTCTATACCTACACAGATCAGAATACTGTAAGCAAAGGTATTCCCTTTGACACTCTATGGAAATAAAAGTTGGACTCTGAACAAGCAAGACAGAAAGAGTACTGTCAGCCCTCCCAGTAAACCAGACAGGAAACATGACCAGATGAGCTACTTCTGCATTATTGATAGGTTACATTAACAGAATCTTGCAAGGCTGAAAGTACAAATCTCCTGCCGTCCCTATTTACCACCTGGTCAGTTAGGCCGGGTCCTTTGTAAGTTCCCTTCTCAGTTGTGGGCTCCTCCCCCTTTTACCTGATCATTCCCAAGGGAGCATCTCTTCCCACCTCTCCCCAGTCTTTTAAGGTAATTCTCACATTCCATTACAAATACTGACATTTTTGAACTTTGGTATTGGAGAAGACTCCTGAAGATACCATGGATAGGTAAGAAAACAAACAAATGGATCACTGAACAAATCAACCCAAAGTTCTCACTCAAGGCAAAGAATGACCAGGCTCAAATTATCCTGCTTCAGATACATTATGCAAAGACCTAGCTTTCTGGAAAATGCTTGAATCCTGGGAAAGGTGAAAGATAAGAGAAGAAAAGGTTGACCAGCGGCAAGGATGGACTCAGTTACATTAGTGATGGGTGCGCTGTTGGAAGACTTGAAGGCTCAGGTTAGGGACAGATTGTCCTGGAGAAAATTTATTTATGTGGTTGTTAAGAGATGACAGTGGCTTGATGGCACATAATCATAATCAATTCCCATCCCATGAAATGGGCCTTCATAAAAATGACAAGAACCAAAGCTCAAAGACAAAAAGCAGAAATGTTTAGGATTAGCAAAGATCTGCACATTTCATAACATAGTTTTGGAAGCTGCATATAACCCATAGAATAAATATGCTACATGGCAATTTTAAAATTAGAACCTACAGTGTAAAAATCAATTTTAAATGTTTTTTTCCAAGCCTAAGAAAATTTTACAAACACATCAGAATATGCTTTTCCAGAGGACAGAACAGCTGTGTGTGTTTGTGCTGTGTAATCAGCTTCTTAAATTTTCAGTATGTTCTCAAATAACCAAACAACTTGCAAAGGACAATTAACAGCTTAACTTATTTGGGTCATGCCTGGGTTTAGTTTATTAGCATGAAAAGGGCAAAAACAGGGCAATCTAGTAAAAAGCAAAAGTTTCCATTTCTATTCCCACTGGAACAAGCATCTGTTGCTAAGTCCAGCCTTCTAATACCCCTGAATACTTATGCGTATTTACGCCTAAAGATATATTAACATTGTAATTAGAGTAAGCATGAAATGTTGTTTCATATGCCTTAGGATTTCTGCTGAACATATTCATATTAAACTTCTTGTGGCTGTTTTTCTATTAAATGCATTTGTAAGAACTACTGTCTGAGCTTGCTTTCTTCTCCCCACTCCATCTCAACTTTTTCCTTTCTTTTGCATCTTTTATATTATATCAGCTTATAGACAGAGATGGTCTTGTTTATCATACAAGCTGCCCATGGGCTTTTTCAGAGGAAGAGAAGCAAACAGAATAGGGCCTCTGACAAGGAATTTTACTAACAGGCAATATCTGGTACTAAGGCCTGTTTAAATAATTCAGCTAGCCTATCATCCATCAATTACATTTCTGTCAGCAGTCCTTTTCCATTTCTTGTACAGAGTGGCACGCAAAATGTAAAGTATGGACCTTCATTACTTTCAACTGGCAAAGTCTGCCCTATTCTCTTGAACTTTTATGACGTACCTTGATATTACAGAGGTTTTAAGGCAGTTTTTGCAACCTGGCAGTATCTGGAATTTCTACACTTCAATTTGTAAAATTCTCAGCCAGCATGACTTAGAAATCTGGAAGCTAAAAGCATGAATATCTTGGAAATACCTTTGGAAAAGGCTGATTTGTGGATGCCTAGTCCCTCTTTTAAATAATTGTTTTATAAAAGTCATATTTTATAAGTCAAATCAAGTAAAAGCAAAATTCCTAACTACCCGAGACTGAAGCAAAGGGTAGGTTATACACTTTTTATACACCATTTTCTTTAGATAATGAGATATGGCATATAAACACTTTAAATAAACTGTGGAATCCTTGGGGTTCTCTGAGCTTGGTTGTTTTCTTGCAAACGTTTCGTTACCCAGCTAGAAAAGATATTTTTGTTTCTTAGAATTCTGTGTTAGAAATTTAATCAGTTCTGAACTAGAAATCTAATACTGACTCATTTGAGAAGTAAATGGGAAATAACTTTCTATAAAATGTTGATAAGTATAAGGATGGTATAGAGAGTAAGGAAGATGACCTTCATGGATATATGCAGACTCTGCTGCCTAAACAACAAGGGTAAAGCATTTTTTAACTCCAGAATGTCCAGATAATGTTATAGCCAATCTCAGTTAAAGAAGTTTTAGTCTTCCTGTGGAGTTAGTTTCTTAGTCTGTCCTACCTGGTGGAACTGACATACCCTGCAGCAAAGATGATTTAAAATATCCAAGTAAGCATTTAAAAGTACTGTAACTTCAAAAATATAATACTCAGTTATTATATAAAATCCCTAATGAAATATGAAATCTACTGCTTTTTCCATTATTCTATTCCAGTTCTATTCAACAATAACAAAACAGATTGTCAAACTGATCACTAGATTCAAACATTATGTCTGTTGAACCATGGTAAAACACAACTGGTTGGATTCACACAAGCCTCAAACCCAAACCCAAACCATGTCTTATGTTGTGTGATCAGTACCGATGGCTGCATGAGACAAAAAGCTAAGTCCTAAAAAAAAAAGAAAAAAAAAAGCATGGATTATTGAGAGTGAACAGTAGCATGACATCTGAATTCAGCATTCTGGTTTGCTGTTCCCAAACCAGTCAGGACCTTAAGACCCCAAGAAGCCATAACATCATCCAAATATACAAGCTATCCATGTCTACTGAATGTTAGTGAATGCACTGCACATATCAGAAAACAGTAATAAACCAGGATAAGCTTGGACTCCTTATCATTACATGTAAATTATAGTACTTTGGTACTTCCTGCAATGTATTTTCTTGCTTACAAAGTACCAAAAATATTACTAACTTTTCAATATCTATAATGATGCTGAATAATTGTTAAACTGTGAGAAAAAATTATTCAGCTTCTAAGTTAATCACAAGAAGTTGTCACTGCAAGACTGCTAATTTCAAAAATGGGAAAGGTATATATTATAGCTATCAAAAGCGCCTGCAATTTGTTTCATTTACCAAGTCCTAAGGAACGCTAGACTATGAAAAACCACCAGTTTTCATAAAAACACATCTACATTATTACACTACTGTAGACATATTAAAATCTTGTGATTTTCAGAGACATTTAAAATAAGTCATATTAACTTTAAAGAATAAAATTGAAGTGTACTTTGGCTTCATTGCAGCATCTGCCACATGTCATTAATACCCAGAGGTATTAGCAGAAAGCTACTTCTTGTCTGTAGACTTTCAGAGGCATGCCAAAAGATTTGAGATAAGAAAGCTCCACTATACCCAAGTTAAAACAATTTGAAATCTTATATGATTCTACATGAGTTTGATTTTGGAGGATAAAGAGAGACATAAAGAAAATTGAAAATAAATATAGGATTAAAATATAGTTTTTATCGTAAACCACCCAGAATCACTTCCTTGTGAGATGGGCAGTGTCCAAACTTGAAATATAAACAAACAAACAAACACTGTACCATATAAATTTGAGTCACAAGTTATTCAATTCTGTATTATAAACACCAGATCCAATTTCTTGGAAGGTTCTGTAATGAATGTCATAGCACCAGTTGAAACAAATTCTTTACAGAATCATGTGAAGAGGTATTATGAAATTAGAACTTAGGTATTAAGCAATTAGAGCGTTTTAAATACACTCAGCACTATCTGTAGTACCAATTATAGTACAACTACATGTCATATGACAGAGAGTAATCGTCATCTGAAAATACTGACAAATACTGAAAAAATAACATGATAAGAGGGGGGCAAGATGTACTTGTTGCAACCTCTATAATGATGCAGTGTCATGAACTTTTAAAATTGGTTGCTTAATTTAAAAAGATTTAAAATATTTGAATACTGATAGCTACAGTACACATTCATAAAAATTACAGCATAAAGTCATTTTAGATTAAATGAACACTGCATATTTCAGATAAACCTGATTAACTGAACTCTCCTGCTTTCCTACTATTTTACTTTTCTTAATTTTACATGTAATACATTACCAATGGAGTTGCTGAAAGGTCACAAAACAGGATGTCATTTGTGATCTGACATTTTCCTTACTTCCCAATTACCCCAATATTCCCAAGTGTATGACCAAAGGAAAGTGAACCAACAAGCAAAGATGGAGCATTGTGAATAAGCAAACGTTGGAGAGAAGGGAACTTCATAGCCCTGCTCTGGGATAACAAGAGTATGGCAGCTGTGGCTGTTTACCAGACCCTCGGGTGATTCCATAGCCCTGGAATTTAAAGAGAATCAACACAGGTTTCATCAGGAATGCCTGCAGGGGTGTGTGTGTCAAAAAAGTCAAGATGGCAGACATGCCCACACAATCAAAGCCCTGCCCCTTTGTACATGTGTTGATGTCTCACACATGTACAAAGCAGTGCAGATTGGAGGTGTACCCACTATTTTGCTTTTTTTGACATCCTCACCACCACAGACACCCATGCACAAAAGTAATGGCTGCTTCATTTTCTAGCTGTTTATACTGGTCAATACTACTAGGCTCAGCCTTCCCAGTTACACTACTTAAAAATGAGAAAACAAGAAAATATAACCTCAGAAAGCAACAGTGCAGGCAAGTAATTCTATTTTTTGTAGAAGCAATCTCTAAAAATGGTTACCCTCCGTCTGTTAGCAAAACAACATATAGCCTTGGGCAAGCACTGGTTGCAAGGAATTGTTGCTTTCTGCTGCTTATTACAGATAACTTTCCTTCCTCTCTGGAGAACCCAAAGTTTGGCATTCTGCCTCCTTCAAATATTAAGATAATAACTTTAAGGGCAAGTGAGTTACTGGAAGTGGTGGCAACTATTCTTTCTGACCACTGCTACTTCCCTAGGACTGTGAACAGCAACTGCACTAGACCAAATACCATTTGAGTAGGAGCAAGAATAATTCAGGAAAAGATGCTGTTACTGACAACGGTCCATGAAAGGAACAAAAGGGAAAAAAAAGTATTACCAGCATCCCATCCATGCATCCATTTTAATAATGTAAGTGGTCCTAAGCCAGTAAGAGCTGATATCTAGACTTCTGATATCCCTCCTACACCATCTATCATCCTCTTCCCAGCAGACCCTTTGGGACATTAGCTACTGAGCACAGAATCTCGACTTTCACATAACACAAGCAAAATGAAGCAGAAATGTACTGCTGAGCTCCATAAATGTGTTGTAGCGTGTTGTTCATGAACTGACACAAAGGACGGAAAAGGATTCCAAGCAGCCTTGGGAAAAAACCTAACCCCAAAGACGATGAAAAGGCAATGACCCTTTCTCAGACATTATCAGCAAAACTTTCCCACTCCTCTGTACTCACTCATGTTCTGCAATATCTGGCAAATAAGCTGCATCTTCTTGAGAGGGATGAGCCATAAAAACAACATCTAGACTATCAAAAACCCCAGCTTTAATTAAGTCTATTTTGCCTCCTCCATCTTCTTCAGCAGGTGTGCCCAGCACTGTGACCTAAAACGAGAAGGTTACAAGCCATCAGGGTCTGGAAAAACAACAACAGAAAAACAGCGCCAAGGGAACCCAGACGCGGAAGCCGGTTGACTGGGGTGCATGTCCCAGTGAACTCTCTTGAACACGACGCTACGACGGATGTTTTAAAAATGCATAGCTGTCTCGATACAGATAAGAGATTTACCAAAAAGAAAAAAAAAGAAAAAGAATGGGGGAAGATACGCTCAAAACCGAAAGTTAACCCTGTACAATCCCGCGCGCTCCCTAGCACTGAAAACACGGAGGGAGGCGAAGACGGCCAAGCTGCCAATTCGCTTCACCCCGAGTCCTCCTCACCTTAACAGCTGGCGCGTGGCGAGGGAGGCCTCCGGGGCTCTGGCGAAGGCTCTCCAGGGCGCCCTTCAGACCCAGCGCGGCGGCGGCGCCCACTTCGGCGATGAGGTTGTGCCCGCAGGCGTGCCCGATGGCGGGCAGGGCGTCGTACTCGCACAGGAAGCCCAGGCGAAGCGGCGGCGGCGGCGGGGGCGCCTGGCTCGCTTCGCCAGGAGAGCAGGACGCCCCGTCCCACTTCCAGTCCGCCCGGAAGGCCGTCGCCAGCTTGTAGCTGCGCTGCACCGACCAGGCGCCCGAGGAGGGCGACGCGGGCAGGCTGGCGAAGAAGCGCGTCAGGGCGGCGTGAGCCTGGTGCTCCTCGTAAGCCAGCTCCGGGTGGCTCCAGATCGCCCGGCTGACGACTGTGACGACTCGTCGATGCACTCGGCCGCCCGCCGCTTCCATTCGCCCAAGCGCATCTCCGTTCCTATTATCCGCTCTCTTCGCTTCAGGCCCGCGCGGCTGCTAGTTAAACAGCAGCAATCTCGCGCCCGCTCCAAAGTAGCCGCGAAGGCGTTTGCTGAAGTAAAATTCCAATTCTCACCGCTATGAATTCTTATATGAACCTGGTTCGCGCTTTCCTTCCCGCCATTTGCGAGATACAGATCTTGGAAAACGCAATCTTTCTCCCTTCGCCTGCACCGCAGTTAAAACCTCGCTCCAGAGTGTATTGCACCTTCCCTTCCCTTTATACTTTTTGTATTCAGCGTATTCGTTCAACTCTCACGCACATTATATAGAGCAAATATAGCTGCCAAGCTTTCTCGCTGCAGGAAATGTGTTTCACGTAGGAGCAGATGTGTGTAGTACAGTACGGTTCTATGGCACTTTATGAGAATTCGCTGCATGCTTCAGTGAGGAGTGTCTCAAAGTCTAAAT